TATAGGAAAATGTGTAAAGGAAGTGCAGTGCATCAATGCTTTCCCACAATGAGTTACACGCACTGCGTTGGCCCCAGGGTCGTGTTAACGAAAACGATCACTCCACCCTCTTCCTAAATAAAACGCCTATTCCGGTTTCCATGTCCTTGAAGCTATGGGGTATGTAAGTAGACTTTGTCCTGATGTAAACCGTGAACCCCCTCCCCCTCAGATGTTGCATTTGTAAAGTAGTTTGAAATAGAGGAACCACCGCCTTTCTGCGCACTCTCACGTACAAACTACTCACACGCATGCATGCGCGTGTGCGCTCGTTTATGTAGATTTAATTCGTTCGAAATAGTCCACAACCACCAACCACCACGTAGCTAAGGAAAGAAAGAGGACAAAATTCAATATTTTTTGTTTTTACTTTCAAAATCTGTCTCCTGATCATACTTGCACTGAGAGAGGCGACTTTTCATATCTCTCCTCCTCTCCCATTCGTATTTTCCCCCACCCCCTTCTCGCATAATATATTGAGAGGCATGTGAAATGTGTGATTTGCAATGCAAATATATTAACTCTTATTTTTAATTCAATTTTGTTGAGTCAGCTCCACACGTGGAGCCCAGAACATTACTTGGTTGTTTGTTTTAAAACTACCAGCCTTAAATCCCAGTTTTTGGTCAGAGAAAACGTTTTCTTCTGTTTACATAACACTCCTAACGTCTGACGGATGAAGCGTAAACGCTGGATGGTTTAAAATGTCGGTTTTTGGTGCACAGCGAACTTCACAAGTGATTTGCAGTCGACATCGGGTTCTGTCCTCGTGTACCGGTTCACAAGAGCCGATACAAAAGACCGAACAATACACAACAGCTAACCAATGACTCCTAAACAAAGAAAGAACAATGGTAATTCCCTTGTGAACCGGTACACCAGGACAGAACCCGACATCGTCAAGCCAACAGATTCATGGCAATGAAGTGAGAGCTGCTTAGTCTTCTTTGAGTTTATGTAAGTCATCTTATTTGTTCTCCTGCATCTTTATTTCAGTTATCTATAATTTTAAGTACCTTAGGAAAGCCTTCGCTAGTTAAAGGCAACCTATGCAGGACTTTCAAATCTTGGTATCTGAGTTAATTATTCAACGGGGCACCAACGAAGAAGGTTTACGCTCTCATTAGTTACTCTCTCTACAGAAGACTCATACTCATAAGAAGTCATAAGAGTTTCTCCTTATATTTTCAATACAATATCAAGCACACAAGCAATGAAAATTAAGAAAAATAGAAAAATATCACTTGGGGGATCATCAGTTGATCCGTTACCAAATTCTCTGAACTTACATCATAAGAACTGTATGGCAAACAGTAAGGAGAATTACCACTGAGATCTCGAGAGTGAAAGGGTTAAGTAATCAAGCGATAAGCATTAACACAGTTAAAAGCTTGAAGAGTAGCTTTTGTTGGTGATCATTTTTTTTATTGTCGTGACCTTAAAATGTGTGATTTAGGGGTGATATTGTAAGGAAAACTTGATGCTAGTCACTATTAGGGGTCACTAAATAATTCTATTATTGAAGGAGAAAATAATGAATTATAATCCCTGTCAACTTAATGCGGAGGTCCTTCTCCCTCCTATGTGAAGCTTCTTTTTTTGTGCGCAGTAAACGCAATATTTTCTTGATCTTTTTAGAGCCAATCATTTGTTCATCTTTTATCAGTCAACTTCACATCCGAAAGGGACGAACATCTGTGGATCAGGAACAAGACCAAGATCACGAGGACAGATTTTGTCATTACAGGTCAGTTAATGTTTGCATTTAGGGATCAGTCTTATTATCNGACTAGTCCCTTATATATTATGTCCTGGCTGTTGTGTGTCGCGTTCACTAAAGTTCTTTGATTGTTTATAGTCGAAATGAAAAATTTAGATCTGAAGATTTAGACTCTAAATAGGAACTTACTAGACGATTTGCAGTTGAATGATAATGATAACAAAACATTTAATCTGGATCAGCAGAATCGAACTTTAAACGACCCGTGTAATTACAAGGTTAAAGGCTGATAGTTTCTAAAGAAACTGTTTGGGGCTGCGTCGGTGGGGGTAACGAAGTAATTTGGATATATCAACAAAGTTGCAATGGTAAATTGGCCACCGTAACGATTACAAAAGCTGACGTTTCGAGCGTTAGCCCTTCGTCGGAGCGAATAATTACAAGGGCGAAATAATTACAAGGGTGGCTTTTCGATGGCAAGAAAGGTAAGAATTCTATAGATTTTTGTATTATCTTGGAGTCCATTTCAAAGATCCTTCAAATTTAAAAAGAAAGTGTGTCCTACCACAAAAATAGTGTTCGTTACCTATCTAAAAGGTCAAAAGTAGGAGCAGTCTCGCTTCTCTAGACACTGCCTTGGTAACAATTTTCGACTTCTCGTGGATCTTACTACAAAGGGCTAACGCTCGAAACGTCCGCTTTTGTAATCGTTACGGTGGCCAATTTACCACGTCAACTTTGTTGATATATCCAAATTATTTCGTTACTCCCACCGACGCAGCCCCAAACCGTTTCTTTCGAAACTATCAGCCTTTATTCATTACTACAATAGACACGACATAAATCTACTAAAAGTATCTGATCAACACGACTCGTGAACTTGTCACAAAATTCTTAAGACGAGAAAGCGGTTTCAAAGATTACAAGCCATCTTGAGACCTTGCCTTGACTTTCTCAGATGAAACATTTATTCATATGTCATGAGCATAATGCTAGAATCGTGTTCTTAGATTTGCAAGGGGTGGGTGGGTGGGTGGAATTAAAAAGTTGTTGTTGTTAAGTAGAAGGAGGAAACATTTAGTTTTGAAGACTAGAAGATTTCCAGGCATGCTCTAATCGGTGCCATTTCGGCACGAAAAACGCATTTCATTTTATAACGTGTTTTTGCGAAAAGAGCTTTAATGTCAAAAGCAGAATGCGAAAACAATACAGAAGCTCTATAGTTTTCAACCACGAAAGGTTTCAGCTAAGTCTAATAAATTCCATTAAGATCTTAAAATCAAACTTTGTGCTTGATATCGAATTCGTCTCAGAGTCCCACGGTCTCTAACGTCTATTAGTATAATTTCAGAGCTGAGCAAAGAGTTTCCAGCAATCTGATTGGTCGAGCGGTTCCTTATATGACGCTATATAAGACGTTCCGCGCGGTTTATATAAAATGTTAAACTAAAATGTTAATAAATGTTACTATAATGCTAAGATTTTAGAGATTTCTCAGTTGTGCAGCTCTAAAATTATACTAAAACAGTTATTCGCCTCCGCTTCGGTGAATATTGTCGAATAATCCCCTCGACTTCGTCTCGGGGATTATTCGACGATATTCACCTCGCCCTCGGCGTATAATTGTTAAAGGTTAATGCTTCGACTATCTGTTGAAGTATACTCGAAACCATTGTCATTAATCATTTCTTTTCCTTTCAGGTTCAAAGGATGAAGATACAAGACTCCATGCATTTTATCGAATGAAATAAAGTTGATTTATTGTCCATGGGAAATACTCGTTGAGAAATATTCGCGCGCTTGTGCCCAAAAAGCAACCTCTGCGCAACAAGAAATTTATTACTTAAAAAAAAAAATGCAAATTTAAAAGCGATAAACCGCATTGCAAGCATCTTTCGTGGCATTCACTGCCACTGAGCAACAAGAAACTTCTGGCGACTTGGCTAGTCAAGATTAAACGGGAAAACACGCCCGTAAGTAAAATTTCCTCTTACGCATTAAACATTTTGAAAAGGAAGACTTTTCCAAGTCATATGCTGGCTGGAAAGTAAGTCTTAAGTCAGACTCAGTTCCGACAATATTCAGTTTCTCCGAGCAGAAAACCAAAGGGAAGGATCCGAAGGAAAGACGCTCGATTGATGATGACTTTCCGTCCAAGATGTTTGCAGCGTGGTTTATCGCTCCGGTTGTTGCATCCGAATGCAATACAATGTCTAACCATTGCTATCTTTGCCTTTAGAATGCTTCACATTGTCGGTAAAAGTAAAAAAATTGCGTAAAATGCGAGTTATTTTGAAATATACAGTGGTACCTTTGAGAATTTACAAAGCCTTTGGCCCAAGTGCCTCGATTCCGTGCATTTTTAAACAAAACCGCTTTTTCGCGGGCTCAGATCTAATATCTGCAATTCCTAAAACAACGTCTTATGGCAGGAAAGTTTTTCTCGGTAGAACTATGAAGTTAAATGAAATAATCACAAAAAAATTAAGTCTTTTGACGGGAAATTTGTCCATGAAATAACTTGAGGTCTGCGCTTTTGAATTGTGTCTTGTGTTGATCAAAAAATATACTACTCCCATCAAAATTCCAGTATATGGTTTTATTTAACATAATGTACTGTTCAAATTCGCAGAAATTTTTTCCTTTTGGCAACCCTCCATACGCAAAAAAAAGTAAAACAGAGAGCCTACATTCTGACTAGTTTCCAGGCCCTTTTAAAAGTGTTTTTTTTTTTCATTTTGTTTATTCAATAAAAAGAATAGAAGAAACAAAAGTGGGAAAAAAGTTTTTTATTTGTTTGCAAGTTTTATTGGCTATAACAATTCTGAGTGTTTACAACAATATAAACAGCGAAATCTAATTAATTTGGCGGAACAAAAAAATTGGCAAAAATTAACTCAACAACATCAGCTTTTATATCAAAAAACTTAAAATGGAAACGTTAACTCAAAGACAAAGGAAATCTCGAGCTTCACGGTGAGATTTGAGCAAGCCTGATTATGCTTTATCGACTAATAAGAAATATTGAAAAGTTGAATTGAAGTTGAATTCTGTCTAAAGTAGAGACTTTTTGACTAAAGAAAAAACGTTAAGGCTAACGAATTAAGATTACTACTTCTGGGAAAGATCCCCACTTTTTTAATATTAAGTTTTAAGTGTCTGAAATGATTTCTAAATTGAATTATAGGTCAATCTTGTTTCTACAAACGTATTTCTTGACAAAATTTCGCTAAATAAGATGTTTGAAAGACTCCTGACATTTTTGGGGACCAAATGAATTTTAATTGATTCAGCCTCTTTCTTGACATTGGTGGGGTACTTTCAAGTCACCAATAGACAGTAACATTTGACGTCTAAAACAAAACCTAGGTTAGCATCTTCTTTTGGTGTTGACATGAAAAAAAATCTGTATTTTTTTCACACTAAATTCGTGAAAACAAAAGTGGCACTGAGCTTTTCTAATTTACACTTGTTACCTCTATAATAAATTTCCAACTTTCGTCGGCTCTTGAACAACTTAAGTCCAGTTGAGTTGTGTTCAACATCAACTTCACTCTCGCTCTTCATCATTATGATCAGCCTCTACTAGGATCACTGACGGAGATACAAGAACCCCATAGGTCATTTTACAGTTGTGTACTTAGTTGCCAGGCCTTTGATTCAGAGGGAGGCTGAAGCTGACCTTGTTGTGATAGAGACCTGTATTACTTAGCATGATAATAAAGTAATTTACATTTGAAAGGCAGGTTTGTATCATAACAAGTTCACCCCTAGCCTCACTCCCGTTCAAAGGCTTGGCAACCAAGCACACAACTGTAAAATGGACTATTATTAAACAACATGTTAACAAACAGGATAAAAATTCTTAACTACGTGAATATGAATGGGGCTTCGTGCAAACTTTTAGATACCCTGTTTGTCATGCATTTCTCTTTCCACTGATTACAGCGGTGATCCTGAATCGTTCAAAGTATTTCTAGCAAAGTATTTCTCTTAAATAACTTACAATTATTCATTCAAATTCAACCTTAAAAACTCAATAATTATTCCCAGCTCACGGACAGCATTTTTTACAATTGGTCAAAATCACACACAGGTGAGACAATTAAAACAGTCATGAAAATTTTTTGTTGATTATTGGCCTTCGCAGTTCACGAACAACTGGGCACATTTTAATTACACTTGAAACTTTACAATTTGCAAGTTTGAACCCGCAAAAGATATACTTTTTTGACCGTTTCTCGTTGAAGAAACTATTCGGTGCGAACGCAAAATTTTAAAAATTTAGCGTGCATTTACTGGTTTGAAAGGCTGTCAATAGCTTTGCCCAAACAGCATGCAAATGTGGCATCAGAGGTTACCATTGTGCGAATAAAGTTGCTCACTTCAAATACTCGAAGTCTTTGGGACAAAAATGAATGAATCACACGCTATGTCAGTGTCCAACGCATTTTCGAATACTCTACATCTCAAGCGTTTGTTTCAGTGACTCAAAAGTACGTTTGTGACAAAAAATATTTGTCAAGAGCTCCTACTAACCTAGATTCAACATACCATGCTCCAGCCCCACTCAAATGTTTTGGCGCACAGTTATTCTCCGTTTATACGAACTGTTCGGGTATGGAATAAACTGTCAACTCAAACAGTCCAAGCTGAGAACATTACTTCTTTTAAATCATTAGCCATAAGGGACATTCAAAACATGAAGACCCCGAACCACCTGAAAAGATTTTGAACTATTTACATTTATTGTTTCTTTTAGACTTTACATATTTATTGTAGATTATTAACACTATTAATTAGTTATTCTATATCTCCCAGCTATTTGGGAGTATAAGTTCCAAGTTCGTATTCGTTATGAATTCTTTTCTTGGATTAAAGAAAACAATGGCGAATACTATAGATCGCCTTTGGGACAACAGCTCTTGAATAGCATGAGGTTATACGAAAGTCTTTCCAAAATGTTAATTTGAACCTAAACAAAAGGAAAGGTATCTTTCCATGTTTGGTAAAAACGTCAACGCTATGAGAGAATGAACTTTTGTTCAGATATCATTTCCTCAAGACCTCGCTACAAAGAATCTTCATTCTGATGATTCTTTATCGGTTATATAATTTCATGGCAAACCTTAATCAAACGCAAATGAGAATTTTTGCCCAATTTATCTTCACAGAAATTACATTTTTAGTAAATTGCAATGAAAATAGATCGACTTAACATGACTTCTTAAATTCGTGTTGACCGCCCAGCTCTTGTCGTCTAGCGTATCTGAGAATTTTCGTTAATATCCCTGCCCAGCCCGATGTTTCATTATAGATACAGTCCTTGGATAAAGAAAACAATGGCGGAAAATTGTGATTGCCTTCGGGAATACGGATTAATTTTTAGAATAGTACGGAGCTGTGCGGAATTCTTACCAAACTTTCAACTGATCAACTCAAATCAGATATTTTCCGGTCGACCGTACCAACAAAATTTGACTAAAATATCCTGACAACAGCATCCACATACACATATAATGAGCCCGTTTCAAAGTCAAATCGATCACTGTAACTTACCTCTGCTCGATTCTTCCCTTCGATTCAATTGGTTTTCCTCCCACCCTTTATTTGTGGTACTTCCTTCACCTATATTAATCCAAACGTGAAAAAAAATATTATTTCTTGTGCTTCAAAAGATTTTACGACAATTAAATAGCCCATTTCCGAATAACCCTCGGCCTCATTTTCAAAACGAGTCCTGGTGCTCATCCTTTCATACACATAAGATTATAAGTTTTCATTCACATGCAAATTAAACTCATTTTCACAAGAATGGTTGAGCACCAGGCCTCGTTTTGAAAAAGAAGCCAAGGGCAATTCGGAAATAAGAAAAGGAAAATGGCGAGGACAATAATAGGTTACTTTTTGTCCCTCAAACTAGACTCCTTTTTCAATTGAATATTTAAAAAAATAAAAAAAACTCTGACAGCCGCGGCACATTAAAAAACAACAAAGATGAAACCATTCTTTTTAAAAACATCTTTAAATTCATTCATTACTAATAAAACAATGCGCCATTTTTATGTCTAACCGTAGTGACGAAATAAGTAATAAGAGCTCTCAAAGCGTTAAAAGTTCTGATATCATGTTATTTGGTTTGCGGCCATATCTATTTAAAATTCTCATCACGTCCTTGGCAAGATCACTCTTCGTCTTGATTCTTTTTGAAGTTACCGCTGCCAAGCAAATCCAGCTTAGGCGGGCAGTTGTATTAAAATCATTCATGATTTTTCCTTGAAATGTTTCAAACAGAGCTTTAGTCGAGAACCAGCAAGACACGCCTACGCTTTGATTGTCAATGTATCTGAGAATTTTCTCAAAAGCACTATGTATAACAACGTGCAAGTTGAGTAAATTTGACACAGATAAAATAAATTTTGAACCGATTTTAGCCATAACTAAAAACAGAGATACCGACTACAAATATTTCCGATAGGTCTTAGCTTTTAAGTCTTAATTCTAAATTGTACATATGTTTAAGTATTTTATTTTTTCGAACTTATTGTTTGCACGACCCCACCAGCAATGCTGATTTTACTTATCGTGCTAAACTAAAGTCCTCACTCACTCCCTCACTAAACTCCGCTGACTCTTACCTTGGGCTTTGTTGAGATGAAATTGATGGTAGGTTTTCACTTAATGTCAGTTCATAAAACACAAACGTTTCCAAATTGCTTCTGGCCTAGTTTAAACGTTAAAATTGACTTGTAGACGAGTTTTTCTAACCATTTTGCCTTGAGGAGTGAATCGGTTCAGACTGCGAGCGACCGAAAAATGTAAATGATCTGAGAGACATTTTTAAAACACGTGCAAATTTAGCCTCTCTGACGAAACCTTCAGGATGAGGTCGATGTGAATTTGCATAGCGCGGTTTCCTCACTGACCATTGTTTCGCAAAATTTGTTCACTGTTGTAATTCTTCGAGTGCCCTACCTCTCCCTCTACCTCTCTCGAACTGTCCCACTCCCTCAAGAACTTTAAGAACTTCTAAAACAACGTCGTCATAAGAACTTTATTAACAGTCTCAGCTTTCTGAAAGAAGCATGTATGGTCTCCCATAAGAATCAAGATTTTAAGTATTTTAAGTATTGTAATCTGATCCAATTTGGTAATAATTGCTTAGCTAAATTCCGTAGACAATAGGACTACATCAGCCCATGGCTGCCTTTATTTTAAGAATCAAGATTTAAATATTTTTAGTATTGTAATCTGACCCAATTTGATAATAATTGCTTAGCTGAATTCCATAGACAATAGGCCTACATCAGCCCCTAGCTGCCTTTATTTTAAGAATCAAGATTTAAACATTTTTAGTGTTGTAATTTTGATCCAATTTGATAATAGCATGCCTAGATAGCTTTAGCACTGGCTACCTTTATTTTAAGAATCAAGATGTAAACATTTTTATCGTTGTAATTTTGATCCAAATCGATAATAGTATACCTAGATAGCTTTAGCCGAATTCCGTAGACAATAGGCCCATATCTGCCTCTGGCTGCCTTTATTTTAAAAATCAAGATCTAGATATTTTTAGTATTGTAATTTGATCATATTAACAAAGATTTAATAATACATAGACAGGTAAAAACGAACGATATAAAATCCCGACGTTTCGGCGACTTCATGACGCCATTAATTTGATCCAATTTGATAATAGTATACCTAGATAGCTTCAGCCGAATTTCGTAGACAGTAGGTCCACATCAGCCTCTAGCTACCTTTGATTTAACCTACTATATCAAATAGAGTATGACGACGACGATGATGATGATGATGAATGCATTCTTAGAGAATTAGGTACTGTGTTTTAAGGGGAACGTGTAAAAGGGAAGTAGGACAAGGCGAATAGGGTGTGTGCAGTGATGAAAGAGGCATGAGAACGCTAGTCAGCCGAGAACGCTAGTCAGATATTTGTCGGCTTTTTTCCCTTCTTAATCCTTGAGAGTGCTCAAAGTTCAGCACTTGACAGAAACTTTCTTTTAATAGTTGGTGACCCCGGTAGAATTACTCCAGATTTGTATTTCAGTTACAGATAAAGCAGAAACAACAATAACAACAATAACAACAACGAAATCATTTTAAGTTTTTCATGGGAAGAATAATTGACATGTCACAAACGTTGCTCACTTAAATGCTTAAACTTGTTTACGGTTGGTGATGGTTTCATCTAAGGTGGCCTACACAACTCCTTTTGTTAATTTAGATTTTATCTCTTTTATTTTAATTTATGTGTATGTGTGTGTGTGTGTGTATGTGTGTGTGTGTGTGTGTGTGTGTGTGTGTGTGTGTGTGTGTGCGTGCGTTTGCGTGTGGCCAAGTGGCCAATATCTCCACGTGGTCAACCCACGTCAAGTCTCTGAGTTGGGAGTGGAGTCCAATCTCCCAGAATGGGATGCTAGTCCAACGCAATGCTTTCAGATCCTGTGCGCATTTTTATGGCTTACAAACTTCATACCACCTATTCACCCAATCAGATGCAAAACTTAAACTAGTCATGATCTAATCAGTTGCAATTTCTCCCCCTTTTTCCCCCCGTACTCTTTTTTCCCGCACTTTTTTCCTACTGATTTTACTAGCCACGGACTGCAACTTCTAGCCTCGCCATCTCCAAAACTTTCTCTTTGCGGTATAGCACCCTTAAGAAACTCTTACTTCGCAGTTTCTTCCAAATGTCTCTAATCGCTTCCTTGAACCGTTTGTCGTGGAATGGATAAAAAAATGGATTTAGAGCAGAGTTTAAAAATCCTAACGCGAGGAATGTTTCAGCCAACATCTGTGATATAGAATGATTAATACACCGCTTGCAAATGTTTGCAATCAAGCTGAACATCACATAAGGTAGCCAGCAAAAATAAAACAGCGCAACAATGATTCCAATGTATCGGCATCCACTAAAATTTCGCAGCCTTTTTTTCTTTCCTGTCTTTTTTTTTCTGGCAGTCGGTTCGAGTTGCATCGATGACGCATCTCGGCTGCACAGGGTATTGGTAGAATTTGGCGCGGACTCGTTCGTGTTGAAAGATATATTTCTTTCTTGTTCATTGACTCTTTCGCGGTGCTGAAGGACAATGGAGCAGATAAGAGCCCAAAAAATTGCCATGAATAACATGGGTAGTAAGAAATTTATGACATTGACTGTGATATTGTACGCTGTTGTAGTCACAAAGTAACACCGGCCGCGTTGAATCATGGGTGTATGGGATCTCCAGCCCGTTAGAGGGAGACACGCCCAAAAGATTGCGTACGTCCAGACGCAGCCGATCATAGAAACTGCCCTCCGCGGAGTCATGAGGGACTCATAGCGAAGAGGCATCCTCAGGACCAAGTAACGATCTACTGTGACAGCGCAGAGATTTATAACGGAACTTGGCACGGCCAGTAAATACATAGTGGTATAAAGACCGCACTCTAGCTCGCCATGCTTCCATTTGTATCTGTTTTGAGTGTATTCCACTTTAAACGTCATCACTAATGCTGAGGTCAATAAATCGGATATCGCCAAAGATACTACGAAATAATTTGTGACACTCGTTCGTAGTTTATTGGACATGATGAATGAATACACGACCAAGAAGTTGCCGATGAGCGCCGTGAGTATTATGAGGATCTCTACGATACGGAGGAAGACGAAAAATTTCTCCAGTTGTGACTTTGGTTGAAATATCGCAGGAGTGGATGTCGTGTTGATACTTGCGCTGGAAGTGTTGGAGTATAGGCTCATTTCTTACGTCAAGACAAACAACTTTTTCCAAAAACTGGAAGTGCAACAGAAGGGTAATAGTTACGCCAAACACACACGAGAGGAAATAGTTCGTTCCCCAAGAGGAACTGGTTCGTGCCTCGAAAGGAACTGTTTCGAGCCCCGAGAAGAACTGGTTTTGGTCCCGTTGAATCTCGGGAACGGTCCTGCAAAAGTTAATGAGGACCATCGTGGCAGTTTTTAAAAATGGATAAAAAAATTAACGTTGGGAACTGGGTAAAAGTGATTCACGAAACAGCTGACCGCTACAAAAGATAAGGGAGAAAAAAACGCAACAAGGGAAAAAAACAAATTAATTGGAGATTTATTCCAAAGAGGATTAGTTCTGACATAAGTGATTTGTTGATTTTTAAAGCGTGCAAAAGGATAAAAAGTATTTAGCATGTGAAACAGATTTATATCGTTGACGAGATGTTTTGCAAAAACCTGTTATTATGATCGGTTTTCCGTTAGAAATTAGCGTTTCCACCCTTTTTGCGGGTTTGCAACCTCTCGACCAATCAAAACGTGCGGTTACAGATGCCCCATAGGGTCACGTGCCGGGTCACGCGTTTGAAAAAAGAAACTTAACGATTTTGTTTTGACGGACCGGAGCTGCAGTTTTACACGACGTGCCGATTATAGCACCAAACTGAACAAAATAAAAAGAGCATAATACTTTATACCTTATCTCAAAGAAATTCCGTTATTTTGCGTTAGAGTTTCATTCAATTAGGGATAGAGCTCTCATAATTTGTTCACATCCTGTGTTTACTTGTGCACAAGTTTTCCTGTTGTATGTTTACCAGAAATGCGCTGGAACAAGACATGTTCTCGGTCCCAAAGTCAATATATTTGACAGTTTTTCCGGTGAAGTTCCTTTTTTTCTTTAATGAAAACCACATCTCTGGCTTTTTAAAATTTGGACAGTGTTTAATCGATTTCGATTTTTTTCCTTTTTTTTTTAGAATTTGAACGCGTTTTTTTCTTTTCAAAACGTCTCTCGCTAGAGAAGTTTAACATTCTGTGCTACATTTACTGATGTGATTATATGCATCTAAAAGTTTTAAAATGAGCGTATATGTCAATTTCTCAAAATGCTTACTCAAGTACTTCGAGAGGGTATCAGCTCGTCAATGGATCCGTTTATGCATAATTTATAACAATTTTCTCCTACCCTAAACTGAATAAACGACACATACATGGAAAATTGAAGAAACAAACAAGATAGAATTGTTCAAAGTGATTTCCAAAAGTTGCAGGTATGAAATTTTGAAAATCCTCTCAGAGAGCTGAACTTTTCCATATGAAAGTGGACACTGATGAAAAGTAAATGGACAGATGTTCTCCCGTAAGGTACACTTTTACAATTGAATATGCTACAAGAAATGCCTTGGGAATATTTCAAACGGTCGAGAGAAGGAAAACGTCTACGATATATAGGCATATAAAATGAAGTATCCAAAAAAGGTAAGATTGGAAATAAAGATTACAGCAAATTAAAGACAAAAGGATTGAGTAAGGATTTGCTTCCCACCTTTAAGCGCTGACCGTGGTAATCACTTGCGAGCCAAAACGAAAACTGAATACTGGTAGAAACTATCGATCAAAAAGTTACAGCAGGCGTGAATCGAGAATTGGGTTCGCTCGCTTGATAAAAAGTCAAGGATGGGACTCGTTGAAAGCACGGGCGGTATATGTGAGATTTGAAAAAGTTGGTTGTAACTGATCTTTTTTAAAAAGTTTGCTGCAGCTAAAAGCATTTAGAAATAGGAAATGTCATTTTTCTACTATTGGCCAACAAAAGATGAGCAAGTAGGTGCAATCTATAGGCGAACTACGTAAATAACACTTGATATTTTGCTCATTGACTAAATTATTATACGTAATCGAAGGGCTTGGCGCATTGCAAATTTAGGTGGAATATTATGTATCAAGGGCGTGGGCGAGATTTTTAAAAAAGAGCATGGATGGGAAAGGTCGATCTCCGGATGTTCTATATTTTACCCGTGTTTCTTGACATATTTGATGCGTTTTTTTTTTTTTTTTTGACGATTCAATACTTTTTTTGCAAACGATCTTTGTTCTTTTAATATTTCAAACCTCCAAAACTACATTCATATTTTACGAAAGAAAAGTAAACGAAAGTTAAAATCGTTCAGTGGGTTTTAAGTTCCGTTGAGAATACTGTTGCTATTTTTTTCCTGTTATAAACTCCGTGTTCCTTTGTACAGTTTGAAAATTAACCAAGAGTAGTAATATTAGTCTATAAGTCTATTTTTAATCATTTTGGTGTTCTAAATAGGCTTGTTTTGCTTGCTAGTAACTACAAATACCAAAGTTTGCATGCACCCAGCTTAAAAGCATCAGGAAATAGATACTTGAATAAAATGAATTAAAGGTTGGAACCTTTTGAAGGAAAGTGCGAGCTAGAGAAGGGTCGTTTTTCTCCATTTTAAACGAGAAAAAGACTTCCATGTAGCTATTGGTATACAGAATAGTTGCCTATTTAGACCATATGCTCTAGCTATATAGCTTCCTGGCATTTGAGAGTGGAAAATCTTTCGACTCAGGACAGAAGACTAGACGTGGGGTGTAATTTGTCGATAATATCTTTGGACTGAAAATAACTCCAAATGTTTCGGTTTTTGCATCTTTTCAAGTTTGCCGAGAATTTTTTTCCACATTCCTTTTGAACGGAATTGCCTTTTCGTTGTTTATGAATTCTTTAAGTTTTTTAACATTTGAACTAGGGACAGTTATCAAAGAAAAAAAAGCGGAAATATTAATCATAGCGGTTCAATTTTTTGAATCACCAATTTCGTGGTTCAAGTCACGAAATGGACTTTCTATTAGTGCGCACGCTGTGAGGACAAAAAATGCAAATTAACGCTGTGTAAGAAATTACAACAATTTGTAGCACGTCAAGCAGTAACTGCTTTTAATAGAAAAGTTGATGAATATTTTCTCAACATTGATCAAAAAAGGCTATTTTGAAACTTTTGACGAAGTCTCAAACACAAAAAATTTAAGCTGGTTTTGAAAAAAACGTCAAACCTGTCATCTAATTCTTTTAACTCGAACGTCCATCCCGCAAAATATTTTTTAAAAGACCCGAACTACTGCTATCGAGAGCATGAAGGAGAATCTCTTACCAATACATTTGTAACAATCTAGCAAGCATTCATTAGTAAAGAAATGATGATATGATATGTTCAGTCACAAACTACTTATATGTTTATACACGCATGGATAGTCTCGTTTTCTATTTATTCCTACCTCACCTTCTGCTTTTATGTACCTCTGGAGTCAAGAAAGAAATTCTGACAGCAATTTAACGTAGTTTACTCTGCTGTGAAGGTCGTTAAATACATCTATCAACTTCTCAAGAATACCACATTCGCAGAGCAAACAAGATCACTTTTCACACTGCTTCTGTGCATAATGGCAACTTCTTTCAGTGTAAAATATAGATGACAATATTGTTTCTGTTTATACAACAACCGCGTGTCATATTAATTGCTTTAGGCTAGCTAGTGCCGGTTGCTTTTGTGTTTGTTGTCGTGGGTTTTTGACCTCCGCAATAAAATTGTGTACCCTTAGTGTTTTACATATGAAAAGGATATTTAAATAATGTCTACTACACGTAGAAAGATCGAAACAAAACGAGATGAATTTAAAAAATGCAAGAAACTCAAACTTGAAACAACGTGCGGCTCAATATCTCTAAGCTTTCAGGGGCGTAACGCGGACGTTTCATGTTCTTACGAGATATGCATGAGGCTGATCACAATTGATTGTCTTTAGTTTAACAAATGGTAAACACCACAGCGTACACTATTGACCAATCAGAGCGCGCGCTTTACTTTGGTTATGTTATAAAGATATTTTGAATAAGTTGTGAGGACAGGAACAACATCCAAACCATTACAGAGACAGTTTAAGGCCACTGGGTCACCCTGAACGTTTGAAAATCTGGTTCAGTTTAAGATAACATTTCGTGCATTTTTTTCAGAAAATTGAACTTAAATGTGAGCTTTAGTAAAGTGTACATCCTGTTTGTTTTATCTTCCTCACCTTAAACAACTTTTGTCAACACAGCCCTTGTGTAGGGAGTTCTAGGCTTAGCAACTTCGAAATCCTTTGTGGAATTTTACGCTGAAGGTCTGCGAGCCAGATAGGTCTCCGACATTTGCAAGTATGTTATCAGTCGTTGTGCCTGATGTTCGCCTTTCAGGAAATGATATAGAAACGGTCTGATTATATCGATAAACAGACAAAACCTTCCGGCAAATAAATTTTCCTCTGTTTATTGAGCTTCTCCTTTTAATTTCCGTATGTGCAAACGACAAAAGAGTACCCTCATAAGGTCAGTCTCGGTTAAAAGGAAAATGAACGTAAATGTCCCAGAATTAACGCCATAGAAGTGACAATCGTAGAAGTGTTTTTTCCTTTTTTTTTTTTTTTGGACGGGGATTTAATTTGTGATCAAACATTACATTAATTCTGAAAAGCAATTGCGTGCAATAGCAATCGATGCTTGAGAGCTACCCTCAATTTCTTTCCGTCTCCAGGCCTTCTCGGCAATGAGGGAAAAACAGGTTACCATACAGAATAAAACATTTTCCGGTTTCAATTTCGGCGGAGTTCGCAGACTCAATCCGAAAAAGACATGTCGTGCATGGTAGAAAAATATCCCACAATATAAAACACTGCAAAAAAATTAACAAACTTTGGTAAAACAAAAGACCATACAGACTCGGAACAGAAAAGAGATAGGGGTATACACTTTGTTTTACTTTTTTTGTTGTTGTTTAAGTCCTGTCAGACAGAAAAGCTCAAAACTTTAGTTTATAGTACATACTGCGTTGCAACTCGATAAGCAAAATAATTGAGAATTTTCGGTTTTTTCTTTGTCAATTTCCTGCTACTTGGACAAAACATAGCAGAAATTAGTTTCTAACAGAGAGCGCGATCCTCTCTAACCTTAAAAACTTATTTGCGCAGAACATAAAAAAAAATCGCCGAGCCAGAAAAAAAAAAAAAAATACTCGTGCAAAATGTCTTAAGGTGCTCGGCAAAGTACGTACGTGCCTCTTCTGATCCGGCGTCGCTCGGCGGAAACACTCAAAGCATCCAGTTGTGTTATTTTTCTTTTTTGAGAGCCAGAAACCGATATTACAAAAAAAAACACGTACTATTTCTATGCCAAGGTCAAGAGCTCGGGTATACTCATATTTGTTTCACTTGAGCAAATAGACCTCCATACCAACAGGATGTTAGTTGTGAATGCTGCAAATGCCTGATTGATTAATTTCCTTCGAGATCAAAACTCATGTAGCTTTTTAGATTCTAAGAGGGGAGGGAGGGTGGGAGCTTTTTGTAGAGGGTAAGGGACCATTCTTTATTGATCTCCTGGGGGGAGGGGGTGGGGAAGCCAGGGAATTGGCGGGGGATCAAGATGCTTTCGCGGGAAACAGAGGGGCAATCGATCGTCTTAAATATAGTTTTGGGCGGGGGGGGGACGATGAAAAAGTGACTTTTGGTGCGGGGGGAGAATCAGGTTAATTTTATTGGCACAACCAAACTCCACCGACCCCCTCCCCCCAGACAAAAAGTAATGACTGGTCCTTAATTTGCCGTCGAGATCAAAATTCACAGAGCCGAGGGGGGTGTAAGGGGGGGTTGACGCTCTTTGCAGAGGGTCAGAGGCCAAACATTGATGTTCTAACATTTTGAATTGGAATAGACAAACCCAGGCAAACTTTATTTTCACTGTAGAGAGTGTTTTAATTGAGTGTCGTTGCGCCATTACGTCACATCACTACTTCATGACAACGGCCAATCAGAACTAATGAAAAATTCCAAAAGGAACCAATGAAACTAAAAGTGAAAAAAAAAAATCAAATTACACAAAGCGCGGGAAAACGTGACTGACCAGTACTTTTGAGTGGTTGAGAGAGTGGCGCGAGTTTTGACCAATCAAAAAGCATAGTAAAACAAAACCAATCATGCGTCATAATCCCAATAAACCTTTCGATCCTTATGGCATCAACTTGTCTCCGGAATCTGAATTCTGAACCCGGAATAATTGTAGCAAGATGTGGGTGGGGTTTATTGCGGCTTCGATTCTTTTTGTATTGCTCCTGGAGTTTTCATCGCTTTGAAAACCCGATTCAAGCCTTGAAGGCTCCGAGAATAAGCCAAGGCCACTTTCAATTAAAGAAAAAATCTATGTGTTTTCTAAAGGCGAAAGGCTCATTGTTTCATTTTTTCATCGTTTGAAAATCTGACAAGGGCAAGGAATAGGTGAACATATTTCAAGAGAAAGATTGAACAGGTTTCTTTCACTTCAAGAAAAGTTTTTTTTTTCTTTCTTTGCATCTTGACGAGTTGAAGACCCTGTTTGTTTGATAATTTGAATTTGAAACTGCTTTCATTATTTGACTTTCAAAGTTGTAGGCGTTGCACTGAATACTGCAACATTCATCACGGACAGGTTAATAATGGAACTTGTTGCGAAAATTGTGCTCTCCTGTCGGCTTTGAGTTTCAGTTTTGTACAATGTTGGAACAGAGTTGTTCAACAATATTACTTTGCTTTGTTAGCAAAAGAGATAAAACAAATGAAATTAATATCCGTACAAAAGAGTTGCGTGTGCTTGCGGGCAAATTAGAAAATAGACGTTTAGGGTTTGGTTTGTCTTGAAAGGTTTTGAGGTCTCTGCAAACGTCAATTGGGAAATGGATTATATGTAGTTAAATTCCACAAGAATGGAGCTTTCTGGGAAACCTGAAGTGGGATTGTTAATCCCTTTTTTGAGGGAAAAACTGTCAAAACTTCCACAAGCACTCCCAACTACTGTGATCCTGAAGTTTCTCTTTCGATATCAAGAAAATCTTGTTTCGACAAATTTTCTCGAAAATTTATGGGTATCGTATTCAACCTGAGAGCCTGCGTTGCTTTTGGTTGTTTTGCGACTTTTTTCGTTGTTGCTATTTTAAGTAAGGACACTATTAAAGGTACGGAGATGTTTGGTGTATAATACGGAAGAATTGCGCAAACGTACCAAGTCCTTTTTTAAATTTCTAATGGGTTTGACAAACTTCAGGCTATCTTTTTCTACCTAAAGGCAGCATTTAATTGTAATGTGAGTTCAAAGGCCAGAACACTTTACATGTCGTGGCGTTTAGAATTCGCTTCCTCGTTGTAAATAAAATGAAGTTCTATAAAATTATATGTGCATGGTTTTCATATCGGGTAAAACTCTCCAAGGATTTTTTCTGTAGGATAAGTTTGTTCTACGGTGTTTGGAAAACAATATTGAAATTCTTACGTGGTTTACAGTACACGTTTAAACATGCGTTATAACAGTGAAAGCAATCCTTGCATCAAATTTGTAAAATCAGAAATCACTGCCCACCTTCAAAATCAGATTTAAGAAGAGTTCTCGATGGACTATGTTTCCTCTCCCAAATTTCTGCTTAGTTGAGCACAGAATGTCGCCCAACCGGTTTCAAGACTAATATGCGAGCAACAAGGAAATTGTCTGCGCATTTATTACCTGCAAACACCGACGGCCAATTACTTTTTTGACAAGTATTTGGAGATTAAAGATGGCAAGATATCACTTACGCCCCTGGACGTCTGCATTGTTTATTCATGACCTCCATAATGTGTAGTCCCTTATCAACAAAGCTATCTTTTTTCAATAAGGGAACGACAAAAAAAAAAAAAAAAAAAAGCAGCAATCAAGCCATGATATCTCTGATATTGGACAGAACGCTAATTCAATTTGGATAAAAAAATGTCTCATTTGAAATAGAGAAAAAGACGGTTTGAAGAACAGTAAAGCGGTAGATTTGCTTTGAAGAAGCATCATGTTGAACTGAATTCACTTAATCTTACTACAGTACCTCACCGCACTTTGCACGTTGAGTAAGTTTGTGTTTGTCATTAATAGAAAAAGATTGACCAAGAGGTAATTCTCGATCGCTACACTACTCGCCAGTGTATAACGAAACCCTGCTTCAAAATCCTGTATTTTTATAATACCCCCCCTACGAAAAGATGCCAAAAAAGCGTATCACGATACCAATAAGCATAAAAAAAACGTAATAGCTTGTAATGTAGCGTAGCTGGTATACTGCTGTGATCTTGCTAGGTAATGAGCTAGGAAAACCCATTAGCTTAGAGCTCGAAACATAATAAAACATAAAAGTACGAAATTCAGAAATCCTGGTACCATGTTAAATACTTTGTGAGGGGGAAATCATCAACCACCTAAACTGAAATGATACCACCCTCAAAATTCGAAGAAAGTTTATTTGCCAATGTTGATATAATTGTTTACAAATATCGGCTTTATTTTGCCGTAATGGAAGGACATATTCCGGTGCAATCTGACGTAAAGTTAAGTGTACCCGTCAGTTTTTTCTCAAGAAATCATGGAAAACTCCTGTTAGTATATGTTGATGAAAGGAAAAGCACGAATCGCAGTTCATTATACGCCAGTTTCAATCCACGTGAAGTGAAAGTTGTAAAGAAAGAACATAAAATGTTCGTGAATCATGTGAGATAACCAGCCGGAATTGTACAAGCTTGCCTATGTTTTATTCTTCCCTTCCTGAATTTGATTCAAATCAACTCGAAAAGTAAATTGAGTGCGGTTTGATGTAGAATATCGATTTCCTGTGCTCGTGAAAATGAACTTACTACAGAAAATATTTTCAGAAACTGCACACAACGTAGTTTTATTCGGAACTAAACTGTAAGAAAAACAAAACAAAAAAATAAAACAGTTGGGTACTAAAATCGAACAACGGAACGTAATGTTTCACACGAGCAATGACCGTACATTTGTCGCAATTTTAGGACAAGAATTACCTAGGGCTAGTACCCAAACGAAAACAAGACAGTCGATATTTTCGCTGCGGTATAACAAAGTAAAAAAATGTTTCCGACAGGTCGGCGTTTTTTATCCTTGATAACTTGGTCACAAATAGCGAGACTTAACTAGTGGACTTTCACCCCAAACACACATCGACCAAATCAATTTATAAAACACCTTTTTGTAAACATGTTTTTAAAAACACAAAATTTACCAGCGGGACCCAAAAAGTCTGAGTTCACACGAGGAACTGAATACCGGCTATCTTTCGCAGCCCAGGTCAAGTTTACAAATTGAATTTACCATAAAGTACAAACATGACTAAAACGAGATCGTTAGGTGTGCGAGGAATTGTTTGTTTTTTTTTTAATTAATATTTCTTCTCTCCTTACTTTCATCAATTAAATATATAGATTTAGGAATAAATGCAAATCCATGAAAGTAATGTTAAAAGAATCTTACTGCGATTTGCAGAATTAAAAGAAGCTTAAATTCCTAAGCTATCGTGGAACCTGACACAGAAACTCAATAGAATAGTGGAATACCGTAAGGATTATTCACAATTACCCACAAGCCCTTTCGGTGTCTCTGAGTACTTTTTTTTTTTGGCAAAAACCTTCTCGATTCTCAGTCACACAGGTGCGAGTCTATAACAGAAGGATGTCGGTGATGACAACAATTTTAGATTAAAATTTGAAAGCAGGAAAGCACGACCTCAACTTAGCTCGCTGTAAGTAACAAACTTATCTCAACCTGTGGACAAAAATATTATAAAAAAATCCCTTCCGAAAGTCAATTTTATTTAAAATACTAACACGTTTAAACAATAAAATAGTATCAGCTTATCAACACAAGTATATTAAGTTGTTCAGTAGGTCTTGTTATGCGAATCTCAAGGTTACTGACACTAAATTACAAAAATCTCGCCCAGCTCAAATGTTGAAACATTTACAATTTTATACGATAGAAATTTATTGAGTTACTTCGGATTTTGTTTTCGTCTTTCCTCACTGGGAATCTACTAATGATAAGAATTTCGGGTTTTCATCAAAACGTAATGCTGTGAAATGGATGGACTTCACCTGCACGATAGTTGGCGTACACAATATACTTTGCCATCATTATCCTTTTAAAAAACTTGTACAGACAACACCACATAATTTAGCTCACTTTACCTCACTTTTAAAATTCATCTAGAACTTTGTCATGATCTTGGTCACTACAAAATTATTTCATTTTTATAACTTTGGCCAAGATCTTTGTGCGGCAAGACAATCGAGTTAAGGACTATTACCTCTCCAGGTATTGTTACATTTCGACCTAAAACGTAAGAAAAAAGATGCGGTTAAGTTATCAGCTTGGTGCTGAAATATCTTCTTCATCTAAGCTAAGATTATAAATTTTTTTTAAGGAGCACTCCTCCACTGAGTGACGTACAATCAAAGTCAATCAAAGCACGACCAATATAGTTTCAAGGTAAGTAAAACGCAGTTCGATTGAGTCTCGTAACATCACAATTAAAGTTATCATAATAGCCAATCAGAACAAGGGAAAATGTCAAAGGAGCCAATGAGATCTCAATGAAAAAGAGCGAGAAAACGCCAGTGACCAAGGCGCGATTGGTTTCAGTTTAGAATCTGATTGGTCAAGAAAGTGGCGGGAGTTTTCTGGACCAATCAGAGAGAGACACAAAGCAGACCTAACCGATCCCAAATTGCTTTAGACACTCTAAACGTCTCTCTCACAAGAAGCCGATAACAGCCCGCGGTTCTGAAACTTTGACACAAAAAAACCTGTTTTTTCTTACCTAGTATTGTAATTGATGGAGTCAATTTGCCATCCTCTCCGAATAAGGATTCCCCATCAGGCCTTGCAAACTCCTCATTTGGGTTTGGATCGCAGCGACTGCCCTCGACACGTGACCACATTCCTATCGAACAATTCCAGCCAATGATACTGTACAAAATACAGCAGTGATCCTGAACGAAAAAAATACAAATGAGATATGGGTATTAGGCAGCGTCAAACATTCCTCTGGCTCCTAAACAGACTTTACTACGATACATTGAATCAAAGCAAGAGATTATTAACAGTTCATAATCCCTTGATTAATGTTTGTATCTGAGCAACTGCGCACCTATCCCTCTCTGAACACAAAATTTACCAGTTGACTGGTGTTTGGTCAAGAAAAGGACAGGGGTGCAGTTGGTCAGACACCGACAATAATCTTCTAGCCTGCTCCCAGTTGGCTTGTTAGCTCAATTGGTAGAGCGTTGCACTAGTATCGCAGAGGTCAGTGGTTCGAATCCCGTACAGGCCTGATTTCTTTTTTCAGGTCTGATTTTCGCTACTGCTTAAATAGCGCTATCTACTGCGAGGATCGTGCATCATATGTACGAGTGTCTTTAGTTGGACATGCTTGAAGATTTCCGCTAATCAGAATATGTGCAGGGGTAATCACACTGTAGTCATCAGGGTCTGCACCAAGGTAAGTAAGAGGACGACTGTTTAACTGTGCTTCAATTTCAGCCAAAATAATAGTTAACTGCTCGGTATCTAACACTGCTTAGGCAAATAGTTTCTTCAATGGCGTCTTGACACTCTTTATAAGCCGCTCATAAAATCCACCCCACCACGGGGCCTTCTCCACGATGAACTTCCACTCAATCTTCTTTTCGGACAAAACATACTGTGTTTGGTCTGATTCTAATACTCCCAAACATTGCCGTAGCTACTTCTGAGCAGCCTTGAAAGTTTTTGCATTATCTGACCAATTAATGCTACACATTCCTTTTCTTGCAATCATGCGTCTCAAAGCAAGGAGAAAGCGCTCAGCCGTCATATCACACACCAACTCTAAGTGTACCGCACGGGTAACTGCCTCCTTTTCCGAAAAGACTAGAATATCTAACCATTTCTTGATATTATAAAAAGGTAGCAAATTCTCCTCAGTTATTTTAAGACCCTGAGTGTAGGTCTGGCCGGAGCTTGAACCCTCGACCTCCCGCACAACAGTCCAGTGCTCTACCAATTGAGCTAGCCAGGACGCGGTTGAATGTTACAAACCAACAAAATAAATAACCCGCTACCAGTTGGCTTGTAAGCTCAGTCGGTTGAGCATTGCACCGGTGTTGCAGAGGTCCTGGGTTCAACTCAGTCTGTTGTATTATAATATGACCCGTCCAGCCCCGCTCGCGCATTCCCATAGAAAACCATAGTGAACGCGGACGTATACAGTGCTGACCTGAGCCGGTCCGCTAAAAGCCGTCCGGCCCTGCTGCCCTCGCGTCACTTTGTTGCAAAAACTTAAAGGAAAACGGAAATGAGAAAAAAAGTTGCCTTTTTCAAGGAACTAGGAGTTTCTTGTTCTGACTTGAAAAAATAGAGGAAAAGCTTTAATTGTAGAATTTTTTTTTTTTTTTTGGGGGGGGGGGGGCTCATGTGGCGGCGTGTGCCCGTCTATCGCGTCCTATTTAGATTGAAATTTTCAACACTTAGTGGTCAATGATGAAATGTTTATTGAGCGAGGTTGATTGGGTCGAACAGGAAAATATTTGGCTGTCGGTCATGAGGCACGGATCTCACTGCGCTCGGTCCGTAAGTCATCACCTCGAGCCACAGTCGTACATAAGTTTCCAAGTACCTCATCGATAATCAAAATCAAATGTTAACCCATCCATTACCTTCAGTTCAGCTCCATCCAGTAGAATTGTTTCTCTTACTCGGGCTCCAGCGCCAATTACAACATTGCTTCCTACTGACACGTTAGGGCCAAGCTGTTAAAGAAAGAAAAAAAATACATTTAATTACAGGACAAACTATTATTATTTATTGAGAGGGGGGGGTTGGGGGATTTATTTGAGTGATCACATGGTTTTTCAAGGGGAGTGGAGAGGGGATCAGTTGTCGCCAACAAGTATGAAGGGGGACGGGGGGTGGGGGGGGACTATCAAAAACTGACTGCCAATGTGGGACATCATCAGAATACTACAGAGCCTTAGAGGGGAATCAGGTAAATTCTTGGTGACAGAGCCAAAATCCACTCCCTTCCTCCCTTTCCGAGGTATTAAAAAAGGCGCATTGCCTAATTCAAGTCGTGATCAAAGTGTTGATCAATGTGTCTGTTGCTTGTCAATTAGTTGTTAGTTAGTCGATCAGACAGGCAGTCTGCCACTTGAACAATCAATAAATACAACAACATTTATTTAAACACGATAAAAATTACAGCGGAGCTGATGTGGTCGTGTATTTGATAATAAAAACTAATTTTCCTAATTAACCTTATATGTTCGTGTATATAAAAATTATGAATAAAGGCGGATAGTTTCTAAAGAAACTGTTTGGGGCTGCGTCGTTACGGTGGCCAATTTACCATTTCAACTTTGTTGTTATATCCAAATTATATAAAATAACCTAATTAATTAATTAACCTTGATTTAAAATCACCTAATTGACCTAATGAACCTAATACGGTGGAATATTTAAAAATTAACCCAATTAATTAAAAATTAATTAAAATATTATTCATCTATAAATTTAACTAAGCGTATGAGGTTTAGTGTTTTAGAAATTTTTAAATAAGCTTTTGCTTGAGATTGCACTTGTATGATTGTCAAGAGAATTCCATAGAGATGCGGCCTTGTAACGTGGACTTGCGAAGAACTCAGTCAGTGTTTGGTTTTGGTAATAAAAAGGTCAATTTCTTACGCAAGTTATAGTTGCACTCATATTTCGTAAACAGCTTCAAAATGGGAGTGGGTAAAAGTTATAGAAACAGTCATGTGCCAAGATAAGTGATCTATGTTCGTATATATTTTTCAATCAGGCAGAAACTCAATGGTTTCATTGGTCAGTCTGTAATTCTGTCGGCCAGTCAGTCAGTAAGTTAGTCAATATGCCAGATAGTCAATCTTTCAGTCCATCAGTTGGCCAGTTAGTCACTTCCACATGTAGTTATTCAGTCAGGGAATTGCTTGTCAGTTGTTGGATAACCAAGTCAGCATCAAGTCAGTTGTTGATACAGTTAGTACATCAGTCAATTGATCAGTCTGTTGACATCTAAGTTAAGGATGTTTTAGTGGTTCAATGGTCAGTCAGTAAGTCAGCTGTCTGCTGGGTAATTGGCCAGACAGACAAACAGACAAACAGACAGACAGACAGACAGATAAACATATGGGCAGTCCATAAGTCACTCAGTAAATGATTCAACAAGAGAAAGGACTATTTGAAAGCAAACAAGAACATTGAAAATAGTCTCACCACAGCTGATGGGTGAACAACTGCACTTGGATGAATGTAAACATCACCTGAAACATGTAGTTAACATGAGTGACCAAGACAGAATTTCTCCTTACATTATCAATACAATACCAAGTAGAAAAGTGATGACATTAAAGAAAAATATCAATTAGGGGATTAATAGTGAAATATCAAAACTAGGAGTTCTTTATGGCGGAAGAATGGTGAAGGAAATAGCAAATGCAAGATGAATTGTGCACACTTGCTAGTTCTTACCTCTAATATGTGGCTGGCCTTTTCCACTCTGAGCTAAAAGATCTGGATGAGTTTTGTGATACATGGCGAGTACATTTCTATTTGCATAAATCGCAGACCTGTTCAAGAAAAGATAAAAGTTTTTTTTACATCAGTTGAATAACAATCAACAACAACAATCAAGTTTAATGTCTTTACGTGAGGCATGGTTACCCAATTGCCTGAACCAGAGGCTCATGTATAAAAGTAAAGACTATAAAAATTAGGTACAAATAATAATATAAAAATGGTGATGAAAAGATAAATTTAAGTGTTTATAAATATGTAAATTGAATGTAATGGTAAGGAGAGAAATATGAGAAATACATGTACATATAAACAGTAATAACTATAAGCAAGACTTGCACTGACAGCTGGGTCCTAACGATTTGCTGAAATCAAAAGTCTTGAGCTTGCAAATGAACTCGCTAATCTTATCTGATGTTTTTATATCACCAGGTAATTTATTCCAGAGATGACTGACTTTATAAGTGAAAGAGTTATGGAAAAATTTATTATTGTAACCAGGCTGTACTAGATTAATACCCCTACTTCTTAAGTTATATCTGGTTTGGCAAATTTGGAAGAAGTTTTTAATGTATTCTGGACCATTAGAGTTCCTGCAATTGTACAATAAAATAAGAGAACTATAATTATAGCGTCTATGTTCAAGAGACCGCATATCACTCAAGGATAAGATAGTATCATAATCAAGATTGTTGCCTAAATTTAGTAAAGTTTTAATAGCATATTTGTTGACTGACTCTAGTTTAGAGCTTAAAGTTTTATTGATTCCAATAAGTAGTGGACTGCAATATTCCAAGTGAGGAAGCAGGTAGGCCTTGTAAAGAGATAAAGACACGCTGTGAGGCATCAGTCTTTTGAGTCATCTTAGAGCACCAATCTTGGCATAGACTTTCTTAAGCATGTTAGATATGTGTTCACTGTAAGTCAGTTTGTTGTCAATAGTCACCCCAAGAATTTTAAGTGAGTTTGACAATTCCACCAATGAAGAATTCAGGGACATGCATAAGCGTGACTGCCAAGTCTCGTACCTTGAGTTTTAATACTGTTAACAATGAGATAATTTTGGGAGAACCAGGTGACCAGGATGTCAAGGTTTAGATTTAACGAGGTTTCCAGAGTGATGATGTTTCCAGAGTGATGATGTCACGATTAGATGCACAAATTGTAGTATCATCAGCATATAGACGCAGAGATGAGATTTGTCTGGAAAAGTTTAGGTCATTTAGAAAAATATTAATTAAAATAACAAGGGGCCAAGTAGACTACCTTGAGGTACGCCGCATTTGACTGGACGCCATTCAGAGAATATGCTGTGAAACTTGACCCTTTGTTGACGATCAGTCAAGTTTGATTGAAAGAAGGCAATAGCATCGCAATTAAGACCATAGGCCCGCAGTTTAGCCAGTAGTAGATTGTGGCAGATCGAATCAAATGCTTTAGAAAGGTCAATAGCAATAGTTCCAGTTATTTTCTTAGAGTCAAGAGCCAGTCTCCAATCGTCCACTATCTTAAGTAAAGCAGTGCAACAAGAATGGCCTCTCAAGAACCCGGACATATCCAGTGAGAACTTAGACTTGAAAGTACCATTTGGCTGTACATAACTTTTTCTAATAACTTTGGGATGACAGACAGTATGCTGATTGGTCTGTAGTTATTTACAGATGAGGTATCATCTTTTTTGTAGACGGGTAATATGGCTTCGTTTCCAGTCTGATGGCCAAGAGGACTTTGTTATGCAGTAATTTATCAGTTTAGAAAGAGGCTCTTTAATTGTTGACGCAGATAACTTGAGGATTTTTGGCGGGATGTTATCAGGGCCACATGATTTATTAGTCCTGAGCTCTCTTAGTAATTTCAACACTAACGGGCTGAAAGGAAAATCCTAAGTTAAAATTTTGCGAAGAGATAGATATAATACTTGGATGGTTGTCAAATTCTTCTAGTGAAAGTTCCAAGGCATCCTGAGAAAGTGCAGGTGTGGCAAAATATTCATTGAACAGGTTTGAAGGCTCATCAACAACTACTCCCTCATTAATTATGCATGTCTCGTTAGAGTTATCTTGACCAGAGGACGGCAATAAGGGTTTTAGCCACTTAAAGAATCCACCAGGCGTAGTAGCATTAGCAGCAGAATTCATGCAAAAATGTTTTATTGAGGTTTGCTTAAGTTTAGTTACCAGGTTTCTTTGGACTCTATAATCACTCCATGTTTCATCATTTCTGTTATGGCGATATAATTTGACTGTATAGTTTGTTTCTTTGAGGAATTTCTTTTTTAATTTGTACCTTGATCCAAGGAAGCTGTTTAATCCTGACACGTTTTTTCAAAATAGGCGCATGTTAATCAATTGTGTCTTTGTAGAGTTTAGACCAGTGATTCCAGATGTTGTCAATATCATCATAGACAAAGGTGCAGATAGCTTATGCAGATAGATATGTTCAGATAGCTCTGAATGGCCCTCCAAGAAAGTATAACCTTGAGGATCCCAGTAAAATGCACGCTTATCACAGCAATTTCAATTGAGTATCAGAAGAAATCACCATTGGCCACTGTTAACAGTTTCAGAAGCTGATGTTTCCACTGTTAGCCCTTCATCAGTCAGAGTAAATAGAGGAATTGCCCATTGTGTGTGATTTATACACAACAAAATGGAGCTATGGCAATGTGAAAAATGCAAGAATAAATTAGTTGAATGCTGATTTGAAAGATCAATGTTTAAAATTTTGAACCAAATACAGCCAGAGTTAGCCATTTGCATTTTAAAATGTAAGGCAGTTTGCTAGTTTTTTCTTGGAGGTCTCAAAGACCAAAGTTCCTAACCTGCTCACCAAAATTTCCTATAAAGGTTACTGTCTGAGATTAAGGAATTACCGTAAGAAGTTTTAAATGACCACTCAGTGGCACTACTTCTACAAGATGATTAAAGATTTACCCAGCATTCTTGATGGATGACCAGAATGAACTTGACTTGAATGCATAAAGTGATCCTGCACTAGCTAAAGTAGCGAGAACATCCTCACCCATTCTGACAGATTCCACATTACCAGGAAATGGTTCTTCGCTGAAGTAATAAAAACAAACAAGTATGATCATCATCAACAGTGCTTAAAAATCAGTCAACTGAAAAAGACAGCAGGGCAAAGGGCAAAAGAGACAGGAAATGAACTGACAGGAGGTGGGAGATTTAAGACAGCAGGGAATGGGAAAGAAACACAAAAGCGTGAACATCAATCTGCAATATTTTTCAATAAATCGCTGAAGGTGAGACAGCTGAGTACACAGGGGAGGAGTGAGGAGGGTAAAATTCTCATCCCTGGATCACCTCCCCTCCCCTCCTCTCTTTCTCCAATGCAAAGGTATCTGACCATGAAAAGGCACTAAATAGGGTTATCCTTGCCAAAAGATGTCAGCTGGCCCTGACATACTTATGATCCAAGATAAACATGATCTTATGTCTAATGCATACCTCATCTTTTGATAATTCTCTTGAATGATTTCCCCCATCAGTTTAAACAAGGCAGCTGGTGAGAAGATGTAAATGCCACAGTTGATTATTTCACTCACAAAGGTCTCTGGCTTTTCCACATAATGCAAAACCTAATGAGTATGAAGAACAAACAAACTATAAGAAAGGCAAAATAAAACAAGTTCTACCACATCAAAATGAGGTAGATATTAATTAGAGGGTTTCCAATCTGAATACAGCATTTATTCCATTAAATGACCAGCCTCGAATAAGCAGCCACACTTTAGGAAGATAATATTACCACCCAGCCTTGAATAGGTCCCTTTATATGTCATTTAATTGAATTTAACAAACCTGGGCCACCTCAATAGTCTTGAGAGGAGAGAAAGCCTAAAGCCATTTTAAAATCAAAATTGAAAGAACAGAGGAGCAAGTACTTGGACCCTTAATAGTCCATTTTGTTTTCTTTAGCTGATGGTTAAACTGTATAATTTTCAAAACTTTGAAACTCCCATCTTGAATGAAATCACATGTGACAACTGCTCTACAGGCCTGTTAAGTTACCAGGGGCCCTTGAAGAACAGGCTACAGGACCTTTAAAAAACAGGCCCCTGGGCCTTACTAAGAACTGCACATGTCATCTTCGAAAAACAACTAATCCAGAAAAAAATAGCCTATAAAATCTCTATGCACTTCTCCATTTAACTAATTTTTTTTGTGAGTAATTCTCACAAACCTTGTGTGTCTCAGGGTCTTGAACCAAACAACCAAAGTTGTGAGCTTGCTTTTTGTTGGCCTGTTGGTAAAGGTTAAAAGTAAAAACCAATTATTTTTAATTCGTGAGAAAGTAATCAAGGATTGCACTTCAATCTTAACCCTTTAACTCCAATGAGTGACCAAGACAGAATTTCTCCTTACAATATCAATATAATATCAAGCAGACAAGTGATGAGAATAAAGAAAAATATCAATTGTGGATTACTAGTTGATCCAATGCTGAGTTCTCTCAACTAAAATCATAGAAATTGTATGGCAGACAGTAAGGAGAATTACTAATGAGATCTTGGAAGAATAGTCCTTTTTAACAGTTGTGGGCTTGGTGGCCAAGCCTTTGAACAAGAGTGAGGCTAAGGGTGACCTTGTTATGATAGAGATGTTGCTGCTTTTCAAACGCAAATTTCTTTGTTATCATGCTAACTAGATACTGATCTCTATCACAACAATGACACCTTCAGCCTCACTTCAAATCAAAGGCTTGGCAACTAAGTACACCACTGTAAAATGTTTTATACGGGTTAACAAAGAGGAATTCAGTACTTATTGTAACAAGTTTCTGTCATGGACCAGCTTTTAAAAATTAATACACCATTGACAGCAGATTATTTATCTTTACCAACCTACAGTTGATAACCCACTTATTGTTTTACTTGGCTGCCTAAGTAGTGCGACAACTTCCTCAGAAACAAATAAACTTGTAACATTGATGTCAAGCTAAAAAAAGAAATTCCTCCTAACATGTTTGTGTGGGCAGCGAAACAACTGTACTTAAAGGTATGAGTAACAAGTATTTGCAGCTTTTGCTTTCAACATTGGCAATAACTTATAGGAAAGTGGTAATTGTGAAGAACAGTCCATAACCAGCAGGTTTCTAATGAGCAATCTACCCAAGGATTAATGTCCAGGAAGTGGTTCTTCAAAATTACCCAAAACTGAATACCTTGCCAGGTGATATTGAGAATTATTACACGACTTGAGCATTCTGAGGGCCAATAATTAAAATCAACCAATCAAAATGCTCTATTGCCGGTCAATATTCTCTCAGTATTGGACCGTGCACTGTCCCGAATGGTCCCGAATGATACTGCACTTGTGTCCCTTTAAACTTCAGTTGTATAATAAATCTCTTATTAACCAAGCTTGCTCAGGACCGTACTGGAAGAATATCGGCCCTCTGTCTTTTTAGTATGGACCGAGCTGTGCTCGGTCCTGACTGTCAAGACCTTGGGCCAATATTCTCCCAGTATGGCCCTCGCGCTTGGTTAATAAGATATATATCAGGCCTGTTACCATACACTGTTATCAAAAGTAAAAGACAAGAATTCTTCTCACCTCTGTTGCAAGAATGGAATGTTCTCCTGAATGTTTTCTGTGAAATTCAACAAAGTCAGTGAGAGGGTAATCTCCTATGATGTCTGCATTCAGGACAAGGAAGGCCTCAGGGTCACCCATAGCGATCTGATCTCTAAAGTGATAGATTCCTCCTGCTGTTCCAAGTGGCTGAAACTCTTGTAGGTACCTTTCAAAAAGTAAAATTATGTCATGATCATTGATCAAACCATTAGAGGCTCATCTGGTTAGTGTTATCATAGTTTTTTGCAGATTGAAGTGACTTAAGGTATTCAGGGTCTTCACCAGGTTCTGACTGCTGATGAAATTTCCTAAATGAAAAAGCGGCAATCACTGGCTGGATTTTTGGCGAGTGATTACTCAGTAGAGAATAATGGGTACTTCCCAGCAGGTTACACACTTACAATTGTTCACCACCTTTCAACTGCCACACTTGAAATTTCAGCTGGCAATGTTATCAGTAGCAGATCTAGGTAAGGGGCATGGGGGGCCTTGGTCCCCTCTTATCTTGGGTAGAAAAAATAAATGCAGAGGGAAGAAATGCCAGTAGGTGAACACACACAAACAAAAATGCTATCAACCAACCCCCTCTTAGCTCAAGGTCTAGATCTGCCACTGGTAATTACTTAGCTATAACCCTGGGTATTACTTGTCTATAATAATAATAATAATAATTCAATATTTATATTGCACAAATTAACATTGGGATATGATAAAATGCGCATTACAATTATGTTTTGTGAGAGACTTAACAGACTGCTTACAGAAGTTTACAATTCTTTGTGATGTAATTTTAACAGATGCCCCCAGTTTCAGTAAATAAGCCAGTCCACAACACTGGGAGCTATATTCCCTACTCTTTGCTATAAGTGCATGGGTTCTTTAATGTCCCCTGCTAACCAGTACCGAGAAGATACAGGAGACGGAGGCCTACAGTTTTTGTTCCTTATCCAAGAAGACTAGAATATCTATCCATTTCTTGATATAACAGAAAGGTAGCACATTCTCCTCAGTTATTTTAAGACCATAAGTGTTGGTTCAGTCTGGGACTCAAATCCCCGACCTCCTGCATGGCAGTCTGGCACTCTACCACTTGAGCTAACTAGGGTAGTCTCTCCATGGATGAGATGCTAGTCTGTCATTGGTTACTCTTGACTACCGAATTTCATGAGGCTTCCCCAGAAGTTTGCCTCTTCCTGTTTATACCCCTGAATGAATCAAAGTACAAGAACACGCCACATGCAGTGACCTCACAAGGTCTCACAATGTTCCTCCTTATTTGAAGGGCAACAGCTAAAGAAATTTTCAAACCGGTAGAGCAATCCTTTTCAGGCATGTATCTCCCTTTAAGCCAGTAAGACTGAGCTTACAAACTTTTAACGGAATAATTATTTATTTTTTCTTGGAATATATATATACCTTCCTCAGCAGCACTATACTTATGAGGTATGGAACAGGCTTACAAGCCAAAAATGACTTGCTACACCCCTGCTTTTACCTGTTAATTGTCAAGAACTCAGAGCAATTTTTAGTTCTTATTAACTGAGTAGGAGGTCTGTATGGGAGAATCTTGACCGAGGTTGCCAGTACAGACCGAATGCAGTGAGGTCTGTGCCAGCAACCGAGGTCAAGATTTAACAATTATTCGCCGAAGGCGAGGTGAATATCGTCGAATAATCCCCAAGACGAAGTTGAGGGGATTATTCGACAATATTCACAGAACCTGAGGCGAATAATTGTTTTAGTATAATTTCAGAGCTGAACAACAGAGAAATTTCTAAAATCATAACATTTTAGTAACATTTAATAACATTTTAGTTTAACATTTTATATAAACCGCGCGGAGCGGTTTAACATTTTATATAAACCGCGCAGAGCGGTTTTTATAGCGTCATATAAGGAACCGCTCTACCAATCAGATTGCTGAAAACTCTTTGTTCAGCTCTGAAATTATTCCAATCATCCATACAGACTGACCTAGCTTGCCTAATAAGATGTTTATTATATGGCTGTGTCTTATATGCCAATTGTTCATATTCTTCGTACCTTTTTTTTTTAGCCCAGTCTAAATGCCAGTCTAGATGGGAAAATCTAGATCGCTTTCAATATTGATTTCAGCCAATCAAATTTGTGAATTCAGTGGTTCCCAGTCCTTGTGAGACACAGCCATATAATAATAGGCAATAATAAGAGGTACTGCAGGTAGTGCTGCTATCACCTGAAAAGCATAACTTTCATTGGCTCTCATTGAATATCTCAAACGTTATCATGGAATCTGTGAAGTCTTCATACATGTGAATGGCAGATATTGTGAATAGCCACAAGGCAAAAACCTGTTAGTCTCATTCAACCCTAAGCTCTAAGAGTGATAAGATGCAAATTCTCCCAACATTATCACCCCCAAATCAAATATTAAGGTCAGGAGAATAAAAGAAATGATCACAAACTAAAGAAGCTCTTGATTGTTAAACAAATTCTCCTTGTCAGCACCTTAGGAAACGTATTGAAAACAGTATGGAGAATATGCATATTGATGTTCGGGTGTGAAGAGTTAATACCTGATGGGAATATTAAATTCTTGTTGAGCATTCTGAATAAACTTTGACAAACTTTCACTTGACTGGTAAAATCCTATTAAGATAATTTCCTTGAGGTCTGGAATCTGAAAAAATAAGAAAATAAACCTGTGATTTTTAATTCTGAGAATAATTTGTTTACATGCTGATGAAAAATACTTACAAACTCAGTTTACTCAAAAATAAATAAGGACCAAGATTTAATAAGCAAATGACAGGTAACTTGTAATTATACTGACCAGAGCAAAATATTAGATTTAAAGGGAACGACTTAATTCTGTGTCAGTAAAAATTGCAAGTCACTGAGTCATTCTAAAGTAAACAAAGACGGTGATAACTTCAGAATTCATTTACTTTCAGGATATTTCTTTGAGAATTTCTGTGTATTGACGTATTTGAACAGCAAAATGATTTATTCGATTTGAGATTTCAATTTTAAATTGCAAGAGGTTAAAACACCAAAGGAAACGAATAAGAAGTGAACGAAAAAGAACGAACGTTCGATAGGTTGATTAAAGGAAATCATATGATTTGATTGATAGCTCGATCAAAGTTTATTTCGATTCAGCAGTACCTTTTTGCAAGCTTCTATATGGTGGTACACCACTGGGTATCCTCCAATAGGAAATAAGGGTTTAGGTAACTCCAAGGAAAGAGGACGGAACCTTGTTCCTGTTGACCAAAAGAAAAAAAGCAGGGTGAAATAAAACTGCATGACTTTTAATTAATTTTGAAGTCCAGAGCGCAGCTGAGATAGCTGCAATTTACCTTTCATTGGACCTCCGATAAGAATAACAACCTTGATCATGTTTTTCTCAGAGTCTTACGAATCACACTTGCGATCAAAGGAACAAAAACCGGAAAATAGTAATCAAATGTTCAAACGTTCTACAAAATAAAAGTTTCTAAGGAGATTTGCTACAAATTCACAAAACTTCAGCCACGTAACCCCTCGTGACTCAGCCTATGCCCTCCCCCTGGGAGAAAAGAGTTCCGTTCTTTCTCAGGGGTATGCTAAGAAGAATTTACTCGAGCAGGGAATCCTGGGTACTACCTTCTCCACGCACGTGCAAAGTAAATTCGCCGCCATTTTAGAGGGTTTTGTTTCGCAGAGGAGTATTTTTTTATTGAGGATAAAATGGCAGACAAAGGTAGTGATTCAGGAGAGGAAGAAGATCCAACCATTGCTGAAGATGTTGTTGTTACGAAGTACAAAATGGCTGGCGATATGGCAAACCGTAAGTACAAATAATGGCATTCAGACTCTTCGATTTTCACAAAAGAGAACACATTATTTTCCGCGATGAGGTAACTGTAATAGTTAAATCATGTCCGACAAAGATCTTTCACTGGTTTTTCAACAAGTTCAGCCTTTTTCAATTTGGTTTCGTATGATATAGATTGTTAAAAACGTCTTTTCTTCTTAATTACGGCAATCAATAATGTTCTTCCAATATCTTCATTAATTTTGGTTAAGGATTCTGGAAATTTAAGAATCTTTGTTGATAGTTAAAATACAATTTAAGCTGCAGAAGTTGTGTAATCGAAGCCTTTGAATAAATTATGAGGCATCAGTTTGGTAAACCGCCCCAAACTATATATGGGTGAACTTTGTAAAAGTAAGACCTATAATCTCTGTAGGATTTATATCAGAAGCCTCACCAGAAAAGAAATAATAAGTTACATGATAGTCTATGTACTTGAAAATAAGTTGCATGTCTTGACAGAAAAATTAAGCTGATTTAATACCTTATTACAGGTACTTCCCATAGTATTAACATAAATAATGTCATTTCACTTTTATCTACTTGTCTCACTACCACTATTATTAAACAGTGGTTGAGTAGCCTGGAAAAAAAAACAAAAAAAAACACAGGGCTTGTGAGATTCAGGTTTCCATTAACCATCCCAAGAAAAAAAAATGTTGGTAAATAAGGGATTAAAAAAAGAAGGGAATGTATAGGATCAAGATCTAGATGAGGTTTTAGAGGTTTTTAATTGATAGGGTATTGTAACGCTCCCTAAACTCCAAAGGTGTATTGCACTATTAACCTTGTAACTCCCAGAAGTGATTAACTTGTAACTTCTCCCCTAAAATACCCATAAATTACCCAGCAAACTGGTAATGAGAATATTCAATCTTGTCATTAAGAAGTTGTTACCTTGATCAAACACCAAATTCTTGTAACCAATTTATTAGAAAATGTGTCACACCTCTAGAAGAGAATTTAACAATCAGATCTTGGGAGTTTAAGAGTTAATAACAATTTACTGATCTAGTTTGTATTTCTGAAAGGTGTTCTCAGGAAGATCATAGATGCCGCTACTGTTGGAACTACTGCTCGAACATTATGTCAAATGGGAGATGACCTTGTTTTGGAGGAAACAAGCAAGGTTTTTAAAAAAGAAAAAGAACTTAAGAAAGGTAGACTTCATTTCAGGGGATATTTTGTCATCAATGTAGCCTTTTGGTTCCACTGATCCTAATAGAATTTGTTTCTGATATTTGTCATATTAATCATATTTCATCCATTCATTCATTTCATTCATTCATTCATTCATTCATTCATTCATTTCATCCATTCAGGGCTGTTAATATTTATGTGAGCTGGGCTGACTTTGTAAATAAAGTTACCCAACTAACAGAGCAGCTTTGTCCCCCAAAGTTTCATTATTGTAAAAGTTCTTTGCCATCTGGGTTACCAAAGTTTGTTATGGAAAAGGAAAGTTCTTCTATTTTGTTACTTTACACTTACAGGCCAAAATCTTGGCAATGTGAATTAGTTTGTGCCTGTTTGGTTTGCATAATGAACAGTTAATCACTTAATTGATTTAAGACAACCCACCCACAAAGGGCCTGTGTGATAAATATTGATGGTTGATAGCACATCTAATTGCAGTTTAGTTGAAGAATTTAGCCAAAATACAGTGGGCTGTAGGATGTAGTCTGCCTCCAGTGAAGATCTCCAATTCTTGTATCATGGGGGTCAGTTTGTTATATTTGTTCCGTACTTGTCTAAGTTAACTAGAAGCAGTTTTGTAATTTGTATCATTATTTTATTAGGTATTGCCTTTCCAACATGCATCTCAGTAAACCACATTGTCTGCCATTTTTCACCCCTTATGAGTGAGTCTGACATAACCATTGGTGATGGTGATATGGTGAAAATGTAAGTTGGATTGCCATTGTTATCATCAGTATCAATATTTTCTTTGCTCTTCTCTATTCATTTCCTTAGGGAAAAAAATGACCATGAAAACATCAAACAAGAAGGTCATTCCCATGTTTTTAAGGGAGATACGGTAATAAGAAAGAAGCCAGTCACTATCAGGAGCTAAAGCTTTAAAGTGCTGATTTGAAGATATAGCCTTGCCGTGATTTTTATTTTCTTTCTGTTCGTCTGTTTTTCCTAGAGACCTTGGTGTTCACATTGATGGATATATTGCAGTTGTAGGACATACAATTGTTGTTGGTGCTTCCAAGGTAGTTTAGTTTAAATTTTGGGCAAATCAGAGTTGGAATTAATTTGACACAGTAATGACTGTTTGATATACGATTTTAGGACAACAAAGTAACTGGCAAAAAGGCTGATGTTCTTCTAGCGGCATATTTAGCATCTGAAGGGGCACAGAGGCTTGTGAAAGCAGGTAACGAGGTAAGATCAAAAGAGTTTTAAATTACTTAAAGAGTTTTCATTAATGCAGCATGGAAGGGAATGTTTTGTTCATAGTTATCGAAAAAAATGTTCTGATGAGTTACATTTTTCAGAAGGAGGGTTGTCATGACTTCAAAAACTACATCCAAACACTAAATAACCTTGAACCACTTTCAAAATAACCAAAAAGTTGATGAATTTTAGCCTCAGTTTTTCAGTTATTTTTGTCAGGATTAGTAAGCATTATTCTAGTTGCTGTGACATTTGGTTATAAACCATAAGTTGCAATTAGACAATTTGAATGCTGTTGCAGAATTATACAGTCACAGATCAAATACAGAAAGTTGCCGAGGCCTTTCATTGCAAGCCAGTTGAGGGTAAGGTTATTTTGTTTTAATCACATTATTTGATAGAGTTATTTAGTTCTCTTTTCTAAAAATCCCAGATTTCCTCCACAGTCATTTACCATCTTGCACAAGCTAGAGCTTTGATACTCTCTTTTCTTTTCAACAGGAATGTTATCACATCAACTGAAAAGAAACATTATTGATGGTGAAAAGGCAATTATACAAAATCCTACAGAACAGCAAAGGTAACTAAGTGACTGGTTCATTTCTCATCCTTGAAGTGACCAATAAGGAAATTCTCCTTAATAAAATTTGCACCTTTTCAAGCATAAAGTTGGTGAGAAAATAGAAAAAAAATCAATTAGGAGATATTGTTTGATTTCACAATGAATTCTCAGCGCTACAGTCGTAAGAAATGCATGGGAATGAGAGATTGACCAGTGCAGCAATCCCTATGTTTTTCTTTTTTGTGGGAGGTAGTGGCCTGATGGTCAGTGGGCTGGACCATCAACATCAGCATGTATATTCTCTATACTGTTCTCCTTACATTTCCCAGGGTGCTGACAAGGAGAATTTGTTTAATAATCAAGAGCTTCTTTAGTTGGTGATCATTTCCTTTATTCTCCTGACCTTAATGTGTGATTCAGGGGTGATATTGTAAGGAGAAATTAGATGCTAGCCACTCTTATTGGTCAAAGGGTTAAAGGTCTGGGTTTGAGACCTAACTAGGGCATTCTGTTGTGTTCTTGGGCAAACTACTTTACTCTAACAGTGCCTCTCTCCACCCAGGAGTAGAAATGGGTACTGGTGAAACGTCAGGGAATCCTGACTATTTATTCATTTAAATTCCTGCTGGTAACATTGCAGTGTAAAGGCAACCCACTCAGGGGGGAGTGATATTACTTTTAATTGCTTCATACTCTGGACACTGGAATGAGTTGCTGTTGGATGGGTCGCTTGGCTTGAGTTTTGACTTAAACCTTTATTACCTTTTTTTGCCAGGAAAGACCATAGCAAGTGTGAATTTTCAGTACATGATGTTTTCGCAGTTGATATCCTAATTAGCACAGGAGATGGTAAAACTAAGGAGAAAGACACGCGAACGACAGTGTACAAAAAAACTGAAAACATCTATCAGTTGAAAATGAAGGCCTCTAGAGGTTTGTGGTCATGTCTTTCCATTTCTTACCACATCTGGAGAACAAACAAACTTTCTTCAAAAAGTTTTCAATTTTGAACTGAGGGCTTCCTATATATTTTTTTTTTCAGTTTTTTACAGTGAAGTGTGTAACAAATTCACCACCATGCCATTCACTTTAAGGTACCACCACTTGATGTTACTAGGATTTTCATTTGATTGTGTGGTAAAAGTTTGGTGAGGGTTTTGACTGTAGAACTACTATGTTGTCATGCACAGCCATTTTTGTTTCCCATGGTAACCAAATCTCAAAGAGCAGTGTGTCACCAACTGAGAAGCACTCCAAAAGATGTCAAACAGTTCTTTGCCATTGAAAATGGAGCTAGTCGCTTGTGACAACACAATTTTAAGGTTAAATTGTGGTTGCCAGACTTCTCTATCACCTTATTCAACTGAAAATCATAGTATTTAACAAAATTTAAAACTTTTTACTTGGTATAAAAAATGGTAGATGACTTTGAAAATTGGCAGTGGTTCTAGACTGTGTCTGGTCATTTCATGCTTATAATCTACCTGCTGCATTCTGTTTTACAGAGCTTTTGAAGAAGAGAAAAAAGCAAAAATGGGTGTTGTGGAATGCTGCAACCATCAACTTCTAGAACCTTTTAATGTCTTGTGGGAAAAAGAAGGTCAGTTAAGAAGACAGAATTTTAATGTCCCAGTCATGCTCAGAGCTCAGAAAAAATCTTTTTTGAGACAAAAACATATGCATTGATGACATTCATTCTTAGTTATTTTTATCCCATATTGAGACACCAACCATAAGACAGTGTCATTACTTTTATTTTGACACCTGTAATCTTTCCATATTATTCCTGGCTACAAATTATTAAAATATGAAAATGAACC